ACATATGTGGAAGGGGTTGAAAAGTTTATTGAGTTTGCTTATGCTAATAAGCCTTTAGAGTTGAAGATATATTGTCCATGTAAGAAATGTGTTAACCTTAGATATGAGACATGAAATGGCGTAAGAGAGCATATCATCATAAATGGGTTTAACACTAACTACATAAGATGGACAATTCATGGTGAGGCCTTGGCTCCATGTGGTAGAAATGAAGTGAATGAAAATGAAGAATTCGATGTAATTGATGATATGATTGGTTTGGTACATGACACATTTCGAGTTCCAATGGAAGATGGTGTCTTTACTGAAAATCAAATACATGAAAATATGGGATTGGGGCCTAATGAAGAGACAAAGAAATTCTTTAAACTATTAGAAGATGCACAACGTGAGTTGTACCTAAGTTGCAAGAGGTTCACAACTATTTCTTTTGTTGTTCGATTGTTGCACATAAAGGTACTTAATGAATGGACTGATACATCATTTGATATGTTGCTTGAGTTGTTGAAGGAGGCATTTCTTGAGGGTGAAACATTGCCGAACTCATACTATGAGGCAAAGAAGTTCAACGAAGCCTTAGGCTGAAGTTCAACGAAGCCTTAGGCTTTAGTTACACAAAGTATGATGTTTGTCCTAAGGATTGTATGCTGGTTTGGAAAGACAAAAAAATGCTTGATAAATGTGAAATTTGTGGGAGATCAAGATATAATGAATCGAAATTTCGTTTAGAGGATAGAACCACTAAAGTAACACAGATTCCTGCCAAACAAGTAAGGCATTTTCCTTTAAAGCCAAGGCTCCAAAGGCTATTCATGTCAACAAAAGCAGCATCACTCATGACATGGTATGCAAATGAACGCACCAATGATGGGATGTTGAGACATCCAGCTGATTCACTTGCATGGAAAAATTTTGATGAAAAAAATCAAGATTTTGCTAGTGACAGTCGAAATGTTAGACTTGGATTAGCATCTGATGGTTTTAACCTATTTAGGACAATGAGCATTGCACATAGGACGTGGCCTGTTGTGATGATGTCATATAACTTGCCTCCTTGGTTATGCATGAAGCAACCATATTTCATGTTATCTTTGCTTATTGATGGGCCTCGTGGTCCTGGAAATGATATTGATATGTATTTGCAACCTTTAATTGACGAGTTAAAGGAATTATGGATTGATGGCATACTTACTTATGATGCATCAAGCAACCAGATGTTTTATATGCGAGCAGCTTTGTTGTGGACCATAAGTGATTTTCCTGCATATGCTAATTTATCTGGATGGAGTACAAAAGGAGCATTGGCTTGTCCATCTTGTAATAAAGATACCCATTCTAGATGGTTAAAACATAGTCGAAAGTATCGTTATATGGGCCATAGGCGGTTCTTAGATGAAGGGCATAAGTTTTGAAAAGATGCAATAGGTTTTGATGGAAGTGTTGAAACAAAGAAAATGCCACCTCAATTATTCAGTGATGATATTTTCAAACAAATAGAATTCATTGAGAACAAATATGGGAAGGGTGATGGAAATGAAAAGACACGTGTCTAAAAAAAGAAAAGTTGTTGAGGATGGGAGAGGCATTCATAAAACCTTGAGGGAAGAATATAATTGGAGAAAGAAAACTATTTTTTTCCAATTACCATATTGGAAGGACAATTTAATTCGACACAATCTTGATGTTATGCATATTGAGAAAAATGTGTGTGAAAATATACTTTGGACCCTATTGAATGTTGTGGGAAAAACAAAGGATAGTCTAAAAGCTCGTCGTGACCTTCAAGAGATAGGACTTCGTAAAGCTCTTCACCCTCAACAATGGCCAAATGGTAAAGTTTTTTTTACCTACAGCTTGTTTCACAATGAATAAAGAGCATAAAGAAATATTTTGCAAGGTGCTAAAAAATGTGAAAGTCCCGGATGGATACTCGTCAAGTATTTCACGCCGTGTACAACTCAAAGAGAGAACTATTTCAGGACTTAAGAGCCATGATTGCCATATTCTAATGCAACAATTGTTGCCTCAGCAGTGAGAAGGACACTGCCTAAGAATGTTTGTGAAACCTTGATTGAATTAGGTACTTTTTTTAGACAGTTATGTTCAAAAGCAATACATCCAAATGATTGTGGTCATCTTGAAGAGAAAATTAGATTGACTCTTTGCCATCTTGAGAAAATTTTTCCACCTTCCTTCTTTGATATCATGGAGCATTTGCCTGTTCATTCAGCAGAAGAGGCAAGACTTGTTGGACCAGTGCATTACCGATGGATGTATGCTATTGAGAGGTATGCATTAATTTTTCAATTTTAGGTACATATAAATGACGTGCGCTGATCAAGCTTATCTTCTAACTAAATAAATTTTATTTTTTCATAGGTATTTGCTTACACTTAAAAAGTACGTGCGTAATCGAAGCCATCCAGAGGGTTCCATTGCAGAAGGGTATTTAGCAGAAGAGTGTTTGACATTTTGTAATCGATATTTGCATGATGTTGAGACAAAATTAAATCGGCCGATACGAAATTATGAGGGTGAACAAAGGGGATGTTCTTTAGGGAAAGGGAAAGGGAAATTATTCCTACTTGATAAAACTGCATGGGAACAAGCACATAGATATGTGCTAGCCAACTCTAATGTAATCACTCCATTCCGAGAGTAAGAAATCTACTAAATTAAATATTCAATTTCTAGTCAATTAAATAACATATTTAATATCCTATACCTATTCTTAATCATGCAGGAAACACATTCAAGTGCTTAAAGCTAATAGACATCGTTTAAGTGAGCGTGATCTTATGAGAAAGCACAACGAACAATTTCCTCTTTGGTTAAGAGAGCACATAAGTCATACATGCAAACATTGGATTAAAATAGTGGTATATGTATATATAATGGTATCTCTGATATGTGATTTCTAATACATTGGATTAAAATGTAGGTTCAACACTTGCAACAAACTAAAAATGCAAACATCTCAGATGAAGTAAAAATTTTGTTCGTAGCACCAGACAATTGGGCAAGAAGATACAGTGGGTATATTATAAATGGGTTTAGGTTTCACACTAAACAACGTAAGGAGAGTAGAAAAACTCAAAACAGTGGAGTGTCATTGACTGCATATACACAAAGTTATGCAAGTTCAAGAGATAGACGACCAATTAGTGGAGAAGTTACTTTCTATGGGGTTTTGACTGATATAATAGAGTTGAGATATTCTAATGACTTCAAGTTTGTGTTATTCAAATGTAATTGGGTTGATAACAATGTGGGGAAGAGGCAAGATGAGTTCAAGTTCACACTTGTGAATTTTAAGCATCTTTTGTATCAACAAAATCGAATGTCAGATGAACCATTCATCTTTGCATCCCAAGCACAACAAGTTTGGTATATTCAAGACCCTATTTAGAAATATTGGCATATAGTTGTGAAGATGACACCCAGGGATTTGAATGATATGCGCGGAAGGGAATCTTTTGAAGATGCAATAACATGTCCACAAGTTGAGCCATATTCTAGTCAACATCTAGATGATCCAACATACATTCAGGAGGATAATGTTGATTGGGTTCGGTCAAATGTGAATGGAACAACTGTTGATGGTGGTGATGATGCCACTATAGATTATAGTGGTGAAGAGGAGGATTATGACGATGATAGTGATGAAAAAGAAGATGATTATGATGACGAAAGTGATGATATTTATGTTAATGGTGGTGATAGTGATGATGACGACTATGATAATGATTATTAGTTCTTCTTTTGTGCATGATTCTATGTTATCCTAGAAGTTAGCACCTGTAAGACAGTGAGACTTATTTACTTTTTATTTAATTTGTATTCATTAGTTAGTGTTCATATATTCATTAGCATCTAACTAATAAGTATTCAAATGTGTTTTTTTTTTCTTTTTTTTTTTTAGATGACTACGAAACGAAAGCAGCCACAACATCAACCACAGCCTCAGTCTCAACCACAACCGGCGCAGCTGCAACCACAGCAACAATCACAGCCGTAACAGCAGGCACTACAACCTTGCATCCTTGCATTAGTTTGCATATATAATTTCATACTTATTTGCACATTCTTTTATCTAACTAATAAGCATTCAAATGCATTTTTTTTTTTGTTAGATGACTACAAAACGAAAGCAGCCATATTGGACAGCTGGCTCCATGGCTAATGTTTCACAACCAGCACCTACTACTAATCAGTCACAGCATCGGCCACAGCCTCAGTCGCAGCTACAACTGGCACAACAGCAATCACAGCCACAACCGTAAGCACTACAACCTTGCATCCTTGCATAAGTTTGCATATATAATTTCATACTTAAGTTTGTAACACATAAGTTTGCATACATAATTTCATACTTATTTGTACATCCTTGCATCCAAGTAACAAGTGTTCAAATACTTTTTTGTTTTGTTTTGTTTTGTTTTTTTCCAGATGACCTTGAAAGGAAAGCAACCCCGTTGGACAGCTGGCTCCATAGTTGATGTTTCACAACTAGCATCTACTACTAATCAGTCACATCCTTAGCCCCAGCCTCTGCCATAGCCGCAGTCAGAATCACAGTCGCAACCACTGCAACCTCTTTGCAACAATATGACTCCAACCTTGAGCTCTTCCCAACAAAGTAATCATGAATTGCAGTCATCAAGTGGAGTAGGTAATTTAATTTGAATAGCCATCAAATATAGAGCAATTACCATTACATGCTACGCTATGAATTGGAACCTTGAGCTGAAATTCACATGTTTACTTAATTTTTGCTTTCTTTTATGCCTATTTCATAAAAGTTTCAATAGCTACCAGCACGGGTCAATCAGCAATTAGACAGACAAGAGGGCCTGGTCGTCCTTTTGCCAGATGGGGCACGGGACAAAAGTTAATGGTTACATTAAATGAAGAGAATCAACCTATTGGCGATGAAGCTACAAAATTACAAAGTCAGTTAGGCATTCTAGCCTGGAATGGGAATTTTGCACCATTAATTTTCAATGATTGGAGAGCTCCACAGTTAAACCCCTATAAAGAACGTATATGGCAGGAAGTTAAGGTATGAAAATGTAAGTACTATATAAATCTTATTCTCATACTCATACTTTAATTAACAAATATATTTGTTTGATATCTCGTTATGTATATAGGAAAACACTGATGCACCAGATATTTTCAAGCATAATTGCCTGATGTCAGTTGGAAAGAAATGGAAAGACTGGAAAGACCAACTGAAAAGAAAGCACTTCAACAAGTACAAAACTAATGAAGAACGCTTAGCAAATTGTCCCGATAGGGTGGATCCTAGTCAGTGGAAGATTCTCGTTCAATTTTGGAATAGTCTAGAGGCACAGGTATTAATTGTTGCATTTTATAATTTTTTTACCTTAGAATTCTATTTTTTATGACCTGATAATGACTTATTGTGGTTGTTATTCCCGTTATGGTCAATAAAGTCTTTGGCTATGCTTCAAGTAATGTTTGAGGATGACTGATTTTAGTTTTAGTTAAGACTTAATGATGACTTGTTACGGTATTGATTACATGACTTATTATGATTATTATTTTGGTTATGACCATAAAGATAGCTGCCCTTGACTAAAGTAAAATAAAATCTCAATTGGTTTATGAATATAAAGCAAAGCATTGTCTAAACACATGCATATATTTGCCAAAGAATATGGTGTGTGAAGGTTTGGCTATTAAGCTCTTTTGTTAAAAGGTCTAAATTGCTTCAAGAGTTGTTGGAGAAAGACTTGTACCAAATCTCAATATCTATTTATTGTGACAGGAACGCAGTACAACCAACAGTGACAATCGAAAAAAATTGACAATGTGCCATACAAGTGGGAGAAAGGCCCATTGATGGGTAAAGGATGAGGTAAGTGATAGGTTAATAATTTTTTCTCAATATGCATTGTATTTGGTAAAGTTGTAATATGTATTTATTGTTCCTAATAATGAAGATGTATAAGAGAGATAAGGCGCAACCAGATCGGATAATGGTCTACATAGAGACACACACAAAGAAGAATGGAGATCCAGTTGATGAGGCATCAGATGTAGCCATTGTATGTGTAATAATATGAATGTTTACGATTAATTATTTATCTATTCATGTTCTAATAATTTTTTTTTTCTTATATTTTAGTCTCGTTTGAAAGAGGGATTGTTTCAAGTGCCCGAGTCCTTACAAACTGAAAAATTTCGAGAGGAGCTATTCACTGAGGTCTTAGGAGTAGATGGGCATGGTCGTGTACGTATCTATGGATTAGGACCTTGCCCATCTCAGGTGTTTGGGACAAGATATTCTGGACCTCGACAACGTATAGACATGGATAAATTGCGCACAGAGGTACGAGAAGAGGTGCAACAGGAATTATTAGCTGAGTGGGATGAAAGGTTTACTCAGTTAGAGCGCAAGTGTGACAAAATGCAAGCTCATGTGGAAACTATGGGATATCCAATGCCTCAATCACCATCAATGCCTTCACATATTGGAGGGGTAATGTGTATTTAATCCTAGTTTAATTTAAGTATGTTTTACTATAATAAATTGGATATTGTAAAGTTAGCTAATTATATGGCTATATTTAAACAGAATGGTTCCAGACCATCATTCAATATGAAACAGGTTTCGGATGCCTCTAGTTCTCACCAGTTGAATGAAAAGCAAATGGTATCACATGAAGTAAGACAATGTTTACGCATAATGAGTATTTAAATATAGTTATTAAATTTTTTCATAAACATTATTATTAGTTCTATTTCTTTAAGGAATACTAGTTAAATTTTTGGGTTAGTTAGAAAACACATTATTGCCTCCCTATAGTTTAAAAATATACACATCTCTGGTATGGAGTAAAATGCAAACATTATTTTCTTTTGTTTTTGAGCTAAACTAGAAGAGGGTAAAGTGTATTTAATCCTAAATACTTTAATGTGATTGCTTTCATACACAACATTTACACATTAATTTTTTTGGAAGGTTGGACAAGAAGTAGAATTACTTACTTCTAAATTGCCAAAACAAGTTGTGGCAATTGGCATAGTTATTTCTAAGGACCCATCCAAAGTAGTAGGTGGACAACGATTGGGGCTAGAATTTTGGGAAGTTCGTATTACGAAAGCGATAAAGCCTTGTCAAAATTTGGTGAAAGCTCTTGAAGGTGTCAAAACAGTTGGAGATGCACTTCACAAATGTGTAGCTTGGCCTTTGGTTGATGTAATGCATATGCACTAATACTATATTTATTATATTTTTAAATCTTAGTGGTAGCTAAATTTATATCTTTTTATACATGTGCAGATTGAGGATCCATTTGCAGACTTTGCAGATTGAGGGGAATTAGATGGACCATGTAGATAAAGGACATACTTTTTGGAACTTTTATTTTGGCACTTGTGTTTTGAGACAAGTATTTTGCAACTAATTGCTACATTTGCAGGTTTGAAAGGAGCTAGATAAAACATGTAGATGATGTACATGCTTTTGGGGACTTTTTATTTTGGCACTTGTGTTTTGAGATAATATTTTGGAACTAGTTGAAGCATTTTGCAGATTGGGGGAGCTAGGTGGACCATGTAAATGCAAATGTCTTTTGGGACTTTTATTTTGACACCATATTTTGAGACAAATATTTTGAACTAATTGCTACAAGTGACATGTATTTTGGAACTAATTGCTACAAGTGACATGTATTTTGGAATAGATTTTGTTAATTGAATATGGTGTATGGATTTGTATGGCTATAAATTGTATTGTGGCAGCTTATATATTGTTATGTATGGAAGCTTTAGTAGGTTATACACTTCTATTGAATGATTTTCATTGAGTACACTAGCAGGTATTGAATATAAATAGCAAGTATTGAATATAAATGTATAAACAAAGTCCGTTTAACAAATGGTTCATAATTTTCGGCGGTTTAATTTTGTCGCTAAAAGAAAATCATATTTATTTTGAAATGTATTTAACGGTGGTAAATAAATGCCGCTAATTGTTGTAATCTTTTGCGGCAGTAAAAAACTGCCATTTTTTACTCTAAAAATACTGTCGTTAACAAAAGGTTCATAATTAACGGCGGTTTAATTTTGTCGCTAAAAGAAAATTATATTTAATTTTGAAAATTATTTAATGGCGGTAAATAAATGCCGTTAATTTTTGTAGTCTTTTGCGACAGTAAATAACTGCCATTTTTTACTCTAAAATACCGTCATTAAAGGCATGACATTTACGACAGTTCTACAAACCGCCTCCAATTTTCAAGATCGTCGATTTTTTATGTGGCAGTTAATAACCGCCGTTAATACCGCCGTTATTAATAATGGCGGTAAAATAACCACCGTTAAATTATTTCCGACACTTGTATAGACGACGGTTACACTTTTTGTCGTCTTACCGCCGTTAAAAATTTTTGTGACGATTGTATGGTTATTAACGGCGGTTACAAACCGCCGTTAAAGGCAAATTCTAGCATAGTGTGGAATAGTCTTGAATCATTGGTTCAATTTAACCCCAATATGGAGTTCAGGAATGGAACATATGTTATATGGCAAATACCCAATTCACCGAATGCAGTTCCGTTTTTAGCTCATGGATGTAGTGGCCGAGCTATTAATTTTTGGAACAAATCTCCTAAATGCCCAAACTGTATTGGTTTGCCTGAAGAAGGGCTAATTGTCCTTTACGCTCTTGCTCGCAAGTTTGTAGTTCTTACCATTTCGAGTGCGGGAACTTGCTGGTCAGTTGAGGAGGAAAGAATGATTGTAAAAGGAATTATCGAGTGGTGGGTTGAGAAATACAAGCTTAAAAAACTTCCGCTTGTGGCTTTGGGGGCTTCCTCTGGTGGGTACTTCGTTTCAATGCTTGCCACTGATATGAGATTTAGTAGCATTACGATAATGATTGCAGAAGGCTTATTTATTAATGGATATCACAAAGGACTACCCACCTACACTATTTGTGCACATGCCCAAAGATGAAGCTAGCAAGCAGCAGATAGATGCAAATCTTAGGTTTTTGAAGGAAGAAGGCATTGATGTTGCAGAGGTTAAATGCATGGAGTTCCCGTTGTCACCAAATTTCTTAGCTGACAGGATCCCAGGTCTTGATAAGACTATTTCAATGAAATTATTTGATCTATTCCAGGAGAAGGGCTTTATTGAAAAAAAATGGTTATATGAGAGCTGATGGGCGAGCAATACGTTTGAAAGCAACTCTCAGGGAGAGTAAAATTATTCCGCCAGATATGCACTTTGTCCATCACATTCAAAAGGAATTGAATCTTGCTTTTGCATATCATGAAATGACTAGCTTGCAGTCTGAGGAAGTTTTTGACTGGTTTGAATCTCATATGAGCTGATTAATAATCTAATTTGTCAGTTTCTTCCTTTCTTCGGTCATTGATCAGCATTAGTGACGGCACATTGGTCAAACTGACTTTGAACTAAGTAATGTAACTTAGATGAGTGCATAACTAGTGCCCCCAAAACAACTCAAATTGGCGGGAAGCTTAGTTGTAAAAGTTAAATCTCTATAGCCCATCTAAAATCTTGTGAGTGAGTTGTGCAAAAGGGAAAAGGCGTGGCATCTTCTCAAGTGAGTTAGATAATGGTGGAAGTGTGTACAAAATTTGCAGTGTGTGTAATGCATGAATCTTGAGTCTCAGAAAAATATTTGGAAGTAGTGTCACTGTCATCTCAGAGATAGAAATCAGCACTCAACTCCTACAGAGGAATGGCATTTTTAACATTGTTCCGAAGGCAAAGGTTCCTATTGATGATATTGTTATTAATGGTTAGAGTCATGTGAATGAGAGTATGATCACAGGAGAATCAAAGCCAATAGCTAAGAGACCCGGTGACGAGGGCAGTGAGTATCACTCCATCAACCGCACATCAACTGATTCAAGGCAAGAAAAGAAAAGATACAATCTGCATTGCACTTGCTGATGACATTTATGATCAACCAAAGATTAGGACGAATAATGTTTTTATTACTCCATCATTCAAGATTTTATTGCGTTGTACATAATGCTTGGGCTGAACATACATTTTACTAACCTGATTTGAGTGCAGAACTAGATTTCTTATGAGTGGATTATTAGTGATTCTGTGGGGACATAATTTTTGAATGACAACACGTGACCGATGTATCACCGAAGTGTCAGCCAAGGTGTCACATGTTCTAGTCATGACGCCGAAATGATCTCGGCTAGGCCGAGGTTATCTGCGAAGAAACCGGAATCCAGGATAAACGAATAAGGGACAAGAATCTTAGATTAAGAGAACACTTCAGTTTGGGTAAAGATAAGACTCTTAGAGAGTTTATCGTAATCCTACTAGGAGTCTAAAATTAGCAGTAATCCTAAGTCCATTACAGCAAGGCTTCTATTAGGACTAGGATTGTGTTGGCTATAAAAAGAAGGCACTCCTTGGGTCTAAGATCGTTCGGGCATAATCTATTCTGTCGGTACTCTTCAGCTAAGTACTAATTTGATAATGTAGTCAGAAATCGACACACACAGATATAATATAAATATTCCAGACCACTTAGTTTGAATTTAAAATTAAAATAAATAAATAAAAGGGTCACTGCAAGCATATGCAACAACTCATGTCTAATCTGCCCTTGCTAGATGTTGAAACCAATTTGTTGATTACATCACATAGATTACTGATCATCTAAAATTCCCAAATTACATATCAAGCAAACAAAGGTGTTTGATTAGAAATGCTACTTGTGCTAGTAGATCTATGAGGAGGAATGAGAGGAGGCCTCTTTGCAGTGAGAGAAGAAAAGGAACCCCTAGATGAAGATGAAGATGATGCCCCTTTTGGGATGAACCTTGAGGAGGAAGTAGTCCTAGAAAGGTGAAGGTGACTTGATGATCTGTGGCTGTCTAATAACCCTCCATAGCTTTTGCAAGTCTTTAACCTCTTATTGTAAGGGTTCTCTGATTTTGCAAGATCCTCCAAGCACCTCACATTTGCCAAAGAAGTGAATGACTGTGACTTCCCCTGAAAGTGCTTTGACAACCCTCTCCTACATATTGGAAACAAATTAATAAATAAATGAATAAAGAGAGAATTCCATCAGCAATTTTGAAATTCGTTAATTTGAGATTACCACAAGAGATAAGCAAACTCGACTAAGTTTATAGGAAACACAGAACTAGAAATATATATATATATATATATATACTCAAATTTGAATCATTAAAACTCGTTCAAGATTGGCTCGAAAGATAAATAAACTTGAATACATTTTGAAACTCAATAAATTTTTGAATTTGACACAATTATAAAACTATATAAAAAAACCCAAATGGCTAGAGCTCATCTCAATTAAATTCCTTTGAGATTGACTTGCAAAATAAGATTTAAAAATAATTTTGAAGTTTATTAAGTTTTCAAAGAAAGTAGATGCAGTTTAGGCTGCAACTAAACAAGAAGTAATTAAAGAGAATAGGTACTTACTTGAAGGGTAATTGTGGCATAAGAGAAGACATGTCATGCAATGGGCCATTTTCCAGTTGGCCAGAAGCCACAGATGGCAAAGGGGGTGAAGAAGATGCAGAGGAAGTTGTTTCTTCCATTAAATCGGACTCCGAAGAAGAAGAAGATGCAATACTACTACTTGAAACCTCAGAGGAAGAAGATGATGAAATTGAATGATCAACTCCATTACCATTACCTTCTTCTAATTCATCCATAATCCCATGGTTGCTTTGTTGGTTGAAAGAAAAAGACTCCATTCTTATTCTTATATCATCCAAACAGTACTACCCTTTTAATATCAGTTTCTGTCTTAACAGCCAATCAAACATGCAGCTATTCACACCTTCAAATCTCAACCTAAACACACCACAAAAACAATGGAAACTCAAAGATATATGCTTTATGATAAACTTGGAAACAGAGGAAAGAAAAGTCCGGATAAAAAAGATAAGGGTAAGGACTATATATACACATTTCAATCTATAGATTGATTAACAAGATTCGGCATTATCCACTTACTTTTTTTATTTTCTTTTTTCCCCCAATGGCGACCACACCACTTGTCCCTACCACAACCCACCTATAAATAGTAAAAAGAGATATATCTGAGGCCTATCCCAAACCAGTGCGTGATTCGAATTGTAAGTTTGTAATTTCTGATACCAGAGTCAAACTTATCTAAACCAATATGTCCAAAATATTCTCAATGGGAACCGTGTCTTTCCCCGTCCATGATTAGAGTGGAGTGGTCAATACACTGTTTATCTCGTGGGATTTATCCAATATAGGCATATGAAAAATTAAATTAATTGAATATTGATCGTATCAAATTATATTCGTTTTAAAAAAATAAAAAAATTAATTTTAAAATTATATAATCCTTGTATTTTTACAAACAGATATAATATAATTAAATAATTATTGATATTTAATCAATCTAATTTTTTTTTATATCAATAATATACTCGACTAATATCAAAAGATAAACAATTCGAATTGTCAAAATTAGCCAATATGAATCCACAATGAGCCGAACCAGACATTTCCAACCTAATCATGGACTGGAGAGGCTGGAGAGGAGCTCCTCCCAGCTTGTTTTTCCAAATCTCTTTGTTTGTTACTTGAAATGATATTTAAAATTGTTGAATTATGTACAATTTTTTTTAAAAAAAAATTTATATATAAGTCTACTTTCTAGACTCATCAAAAAAATTATTGACTAATAACTAGAAAAAATATGAGAGAAAAAGTTATCTTACTCATATTATTGAATTTGAAAAATAAATCTCATTTTTAAACTTAAATAGAAATATCAATTTTGAAATGTAAAATTTTGATAATGACAATGGCAAAAGTAATTTGAAATAGAAAGATAAAAGGATTTAAGAAAGAAGATTATACGTACTACAAGTTACATTTAGGTTCATACTAATGAGAAACTTATTCGATTTTTTTTAACAGAATATAATGCCAAAATAGTTAGAATTTTAATGTAGTTTACATATTTTTATATATTTTATTAGAGATGGCCATGTGAGAAAAATGCTTGGTCCATACAATTGAGTTGGGTTGAGAATTTGAGACCATTAATTTTTGAATTGAGCTTGAAAGAAAGAGTTTTGATCTAGTCCAGCTCAGCTCGGCCTAACCCATTCATTTATAAAATATTAATTTTAATTTAATATTATTTAGTTATAAGATAATTAAAAATAAGAAAATTATATACACAGTTCTTAGGCTTAAATCAAAACATCTGTTCAGAGATCATATTTATTTTTAGTATTGAATTTTATTAATGTTTCAAATTAAAATAATCCAAATAATTTAATAGCTTTTTAAGACAAAATAAATAAATAAAATTATTAGCATATACTAATTAGGTTAAGTGAGCAAGTTTGGAATTTGAAAATATCTTTTAAGGTTGAGTTAGAAATAGCTAGATTATGCTTGATTTTGGATTCGGTCAAGTTTGAAATAACGCATATGCTTAAAGTCTAGTCCAAACTCTGCCTATCTAATGTTTTGTCCACCCCTAATTTTTTTACAACGATGCTCCACCTATCTCATTTTTTGAATCATATTATAGTGAAAATCTTAGTTGGTAACATAATAGTAGTGTAATGAATCACATTACTCAAGTATATCTCATGTTCAATGTAACTGAAGAGATTAATGCTCATATGTAACATAATAGATCAATGGTCATATGTTATATTTAATTTTCATTATTATAATTTTAATTTATTAAATTTTATTGTAATATATTATGTGAAATAAATAAAAAAATATATAAAAAAATATAGAATAATGCTTGGGACCCCCTTTTGGGGGTCATCCCCTCACCCCCTTTGCCACGTGGCGGGTGGTGATTGGGGGAGCAGGAAAAAAAAGAAAAAGAAAAAGAAAAGGTAACCAATGAGAGAGAGAGGAGGTCAAAGGGGGTGGAAGGAAAAGGGGGGATGAATCATTGTTGAAAAACATATTCTTGATGTAATCCTGGCAACTACCTTGACATATTAACATGTATGTAGATTATATAGACTAGTTGGTAATTTAGTTTGTATTTTTATTTATTTATTTATTTTGAATTTTTCCACATATATTAGCATGTTCTATTTATTGAATGTAGGTACTAACGGAAACAATTCTGAGAGTTGTCCTGAGTAACCAGTGAGGGTTGTTTTGGAAAGATTGTTAAAAATTAATATTTTAATTTTTTTTTAAAAAAATATGCAAAAAATATAAGAACTAATATGATTTAAAATAGGTTAAAAATTGAAAAGTGTTTTTTAACTCACTTTTCAAAAGAAGCTTGAATATACTTGCTTATACAATTGCTCGGGGTTTAATTTTTTGGGTCAAGCAGTAAGAAAAAAAATCTCATAAATTTGCTAATCCCAAAATAGTTGAGTTTTTTTAAAAAAATATTTCCCCCCCAAAAAAAAACTAATTAGAAAATTAATTCACTTTTCAAACTATTTAAGAAATTAACTTACTTTTTAAAAACACATTTTTAAAATGTGATTTTGAATTTGAAATTGCATCTTGAACATGTAATTTTATCTTAAAATCCCAAGTTAAAAATGATGACATGATGAAATTGCATATTGAAAATGTAATTTCAATTTCAAAATCGCATTTTCAAAATACAATTTCAAAAGTAGGGTAGTTTCCCAAATAATTTAAAAAGCGGGTCAATTTTCTAAATAGTTTTTTTTTTGGAATATTAAAAAAAAAAACTCCAAAATTGGTAGGTCTGCCTTTACAAATTAATCAAAATATATGTAAACTAATCTAAACCCTCCTAATCTCTGAACAAAAAATAAAAGACAAATTACCTACATCTCCCTTGAGATTTAACAAAATTATAGATTTTCTTTGAGGTTTCAAAAATTATATCTTGTCCCATCGCAATTAACGCCGTTAACGGATATCATAAATAGACTAAAATGCCCTTTTGACAAAAAAGGAAAAATTACCTACACCCCCTTGAGATTTAACTAAATTACAAATTCTCACTGAGATTTAGCTAAATTACAGATTCTCTCCTGAGATTTAGCTTAAATTATCATTTTTAAATAAGTTATAAAATGTAAAAATTAAAATGGAAAAACACTTATCACACTACAAAAAATTAAGATTTTAGAGACTAAAACTTAGGGACAATTATTTTTAGGAGACTAAATATTTTTGTTGTGAAAAGTGACGTTATTATATTTTTAGCAACGAAAATTGAACATTATTTTTGACATTTTTGAAATTTTGAGACATTATTTTTTTGCCTAAAAAAATAAGTCATTTTGAGATCAAATTATTTTGTTCTAAAAAGTCTATTTATTATTGACATTTTCAAAATTTTATCGCTAAAAACCTTATTTTTTACTTTTCAGGACGACTTTTTAGCGATTATCATCACGTCGATAGAAATTAGTCCCTAAATATTTTTTGTAATAAAATTTTTTCTTTTAGAGATCAAAAAAATTAGTTTCTAAAACTCTTATATGTTGCAGTGTTAGATAGTGAAAATATCATAAAATTAACAAATAATTAAATAAGTTAAAAACACAAGAAATGATTTGTCAAAAATTCTTAGAATATGTTTGGTTTGATTTTTAGAAATTCATTTTAAATTTATTTTTAAAAAAATTTAAAAATTAATTTGGTTAAGTAATAAGAAATAAAAAATTATTGTTATTTTTATATAATTTTATCTTTTGAGTGGTTAGAAATAATTTTTACAAATTAAATATATTTTTTCATACTTATTTTTTTTAAATTAGTTTTTATTTATTTTTTTAAATTCTAATTTCTTTTTTAAACAACAAATCAAATATGGTTCTAAAAATTCTTTTTTTTTTTTTCCATCTAACGTAATTTTTTTGTAAATTTTGTTAATATACCAAAGGAATTTCAGCAGAAATAATATTATCTATCAATTTATAATTTGATGATGTCAACTAATTATTCTTAATGTTTTGTTATAAATAAGAGTTAAATTATTATGTGAATATAAATCTCAAAAGACGAGATATAATTTTTGAAATCTCTAAAAAGGATATGTAATTTAATTAAGGGGTTGTTTGGGATGACCTAAATAAATGTACTTTTCGTCTTTTTATAAAAAGATGTAAAAAAAAAAGAAATTTAATATGATAAAAAAAGATAAAAAGATAAATTATTTTAGTATTGCCAAACTTGCCAAGTTTGGGAAGATAGAAAAAGTCAAAAAGTTACTCAAAAAGTTAAAAAGTTAACACTATTCACCAAAAGTTAACAATTACGGCTGCACAATTTTCAATCCTAAATTTTTCCCTACAAACCAATTTTTACAATTTTTTAATATACATTTTTTCATAAAAAATCAAAAAGTTAACCCAAACATCCATATTTTTTTTCTCAAATTTTTAATCTAAAAAGACAAAAAATACACTTATTTAAGACACCCCAAACAACCGTTTAACCTAAATCATCAGAGAGGGATAAGTAATTTACACAAAAATAAATAAATAAATATTTACGTGAACAATTGTATATGAGCGCAAGGCCTCTGGACCTACGAAGAAACCCCTCGAAACAATGGACAAGGCTCGGCCCCCGACGCGTCTTCCCGCGGCGACCGTTGTTTTTTAACAATAACTTTTCTTTTTTCATACTGATTTGACAACCTATGCCATGTGATAAACCACTATTTATAGGTAATGAAATTTTCATTATTCATCCCTATTAATATGATTTACCACAAAACATACCATATTTTTCATATGATAAAATTTTTCTCTGTTTCATTTGACTCAAAAATTCATTAAAATTTTAATTGCATATTTTTTTTATTGATAATTATTTAAATATTTCACAATATATTCAAAACAATTCAGCTTATAATTTATTAAAAGTTACTTATCATATTATTAGAGAAAAATTAATAAAACATTTCTCTATAAT